AGGCAGGATTTCTTTTTTTTCCGCTTTATCCCAAGCGTGCCTTCCCGATGATTACTCAGCACAAATTTGCCGTAAACAACATCCCCTTTTTGATCGTGCACCGTCTCGCTCTTCTTCCACCACCGCTAAGCTTCCCTTACCTTGCTCTTCAGATGCGTGCATCCTCCTCTCCCGGCTCCTGCGGCAGAGCGGCGGGGAGCCCGGCTGCGCTCCCGCACGCCGGCTTTCCGCTCGTCATTCGGCGGCAGATCCCGGGTCACGGGGCGACGGCCATGGGCTGGGGCGCTGCTGCCTGGGAACTGCGCGCCACCGCGTTATATTTGGGATTACAGAGACTCAGGAAAGGATGAGGATGGAGGCAGACATATCACATCTTCTAAAATGTGGCATGGAGTGGGATCTGGAGTCTGCAGGGCTGATCCATCAACTGCAAACCTGAGCAATCTTTTTTTTTTTTTTTTTTTTCCCCCCCTCTCCCCCCTTCGATTTTTTGCTTTTTGGAGAAGGTGAAATCCTTTGTCTGGACTCAGCGGGGATGCGACATGTCGAGGCTTTGCCGAGCTGGGAACGGGGTGGTGTGCTGGTCAAGGCACTTCCCCAGGTGCCCAGGAAGGTCAGCGCTAGCTGATGCTATAAACGCGCTATTAATTGCCCCCAAACCTTTATCACAGCGTAACTACGGATGCGATGGGGTTACAAGCTATCAGTGCCATTTCTTCCAAGCCGCCATCAGTAATTCCAGTTATCTTCTTTGGGTATCCCCATCCCCACCGTATCGGAGCATCCCAGGAGCTTTAATCTCTCCGCGCAGCGCCCAGGGGAAGCCGGGGAGTGTAATGGCTGATGGGGAAACCACAGAGGAGTTCAAAGCACAGGTTCCTGGGGGCAGATATGCGAGAGGACAAGTTAAAATAACCAGGCTGTAAATAAGCAGCGTGGAGTGCAGAAAGCAAATAAAGAGTAATACACTACACACCTTACACGAAGGGATCGATACTGCACAGTATATACAAATATCCGAGGAAGGTGGGAATTCTAAAGCTTTCAGTGTTGTTCTGAAATTCAAAGGAATATTGAGCAGCCCCGCAGGGACAGGCTGCTTTGGGGGTGCCGGGGTGCTTTGCTTGTGTCTCCGGCCATGACGGGTTTGGGTGCATGTCCCCTGCTGCTGGGGAGAAGCCCCCCCACCCCCAAACCCCGTTTGGGGTGACCAGCGGTGCTGTGGCTGCAGGGACAGGGACACCCACCCTTGTGCCACCCCAGCCCCCCCGATGGCACTCGGGGAAAGCCACAGCTTTGCTCTCAGCTTGATTTTGGCACTCCTCACGTATTCCTCTGCTTTTTGACCTCCAAACTTTTGTTTTCAAAGGGAGTTCCTTTTCCAGCTTACGTAGCTCTTTTTCCTCCTGATATTTATCTGCCCTTGCAGCCTCGGGCGGAGTTGCAGGGAAGCAATGCATCCCTTCTCCGCCTCCGGATTGCCAGGACCCC